CACACACACACACACAGACACACACACAGCAGGCCTACACAATGTCCCGTAGATCATCATGTTTCACGACCAGCACGACGGGCCTGTGAACACACTGAAAGCCTAGCACCACCACTCAGAGGGTGGGGAGTGGAGCGTGATGGTGGATCTTAAAACCCTTGGATCAACCATTAGAACCACGTTGCTGGCGACAAATGTGTGTTGTCGGACATGTTGCCACCTCTCAGTGACATGTCGCGTGTGGGCAGGAGGACATTTCAACGTTTTGAAGTGGCTGCTGTGTAAGAAAAAGTGGTTGTCACGGCTGTCTTTCCTGAGCCTATACCTTTTATATACTTGCGGTATAATATGGCAGACAGGAACATAAAATGGAGACATTTCTGAGGGTTTATTCGGAACACAGGCCGGGGTATGGTGAGATATGCAGCTGTCCGCCCTCGCACGACAATCGACGACATACAGTAGGCGGCTAGGCTACCCCCACCCCCATAGGCTGCAAATATCACGTAAACTAGGCCTGAGCCTCATTCACAGCTAATAATAAGCGTCATTTATATTGGAGACTATGCGGAATTCGTCGAATAATATGGAAGATTTAAGTATTCAACAGGCTTTCTGAATACACAGAAGTGGATCAGCTCGTGTGGCTTATTCCACATTGTGTCCTTGCTGTTTCTAGAATTAGCCTAATCGTCACCGGAGGGTCAGAGTCACAGAAATAAAAAAAGCTCCGTGAATTTTAATAAGCGCAGGAACAATGTTTCAAATGTGAAGTCTCGTTAATGTGCGTTTAACGATCCTGTGGGCAACAGTACACACGGTGTCCTTTTCAATTCAAACCAGTCCAAACTGGAATTTACAAAAAAAATGCGTGCGTGCTGTCTCGGGTAAAATCCAGCACACGATAATGAGTGAAAAAAAAGAAGCAGGCGACGAGCACGGAGCTGGTTCACCGTGTAAAACGCACGAGAGGTAACCTGTATGAGGATAATGTTCGGTTTAATGTCGGATGAACGCTCCGTGCGCTCCAAGGTTAGGCCGACGCGTTAGCCCTCTGTGCGGTCACATTTAGGTGATGATGACCGGGGAAGGACGATCCCCGGTTCGCAGCAGTGACACACGGTTCCATGTTAATAACACAACCTCGTGAATGCGATGGGAGAGAAATAAAAAGAAGGTGGAGGATTGAGCCACCAACACAGTGAAGCCGCCAGCGTCGCCCGAGAGGACGCAGCAGAAACGCGTAAACAAGTCATTTTATTCCTAAGGAGGTTTAATGTGTATGTGCGGGGGTACTCACATGTTCCTGGAGGTTGTGGTGCTGGTATCCGGACAGGACGCGTGAGCTGGGACCGAGTGGGTGACAGATGGATTTGGATCTGCGCTCCTCTCAACCCTCTGGCACCCTTCGCTTGGTTATTGTGGCGTTTCCCTGCCTATATAGCCGAGGAGGAGCACTGGCTTCTATCTCCCACTGAGACGCGTCCCTTATTCGCTATTTAAAAAAATACCTCTCTCTTTTTAATTTTATTTTTTTTATCGGATCTCTCTTCCTCCTACTTCTACTGAGCGGAGCCCGGCGCTGTGATGGAGGAGGAATAAACAGGCGCCTGGATTAGCTGGACAAAGATGGCTCGGTGACGTCAATCGGGGAGAGTTTCATGTCGAAGCGGGCGGCCGCAGACTGTAAACAGCGGAGTAATGTTCGGAGCTGCGCCGCTTTTCTATCCGCACACAGTGGCAGCGGGTCTCAGGGAGTGTTCCCCCTCACACACGTTACATGTCAGGGTCGTGCTTTGGTTTTCTCAACTCCACTAAAGGAGATTATTTGTGATGGCGAGTCTGTGTGTCAACAAAATGGCGTTCCTGGAGAGGGGGTGTGGCGAGGTTCGCTGTAGGTGCCTGGTTATCATTCATAGTAAATATAGATGTAGTATAATTGACCAATGTTTGTTTTCTTCCTCTGCTGTTTCAGACTGACAGTGGTCTGCATTATATTAATGCTGTAGTACATTCAAACGTGTGAGTATATGTTCTGAAGCTTTGCCCCTGGGGCCCTGGTGACCCTCACTGCTTAGACTATGATGTGATGGGGACTCTAGTTTCCCAAGCAAAGTAAAATAGAAATGTAAATACTTCATAAGTAAATGGAGGATGGGTATCAATTCTTCCCAGAAATTAGATGGGATCTGATGTGAAGATCAATGACATAATAAACTAAGACTGAACTATAAGTTTGACGTTTTTATGTCATTTTTTATGTTTTCTGAGATCGATGGCACTTTAGATTACTGATGTGTATGGTATGCAGTGTGTATGGAATATCTTGTGTCTTTCTTCTTTATATGAAGTGTACCATGCACCAAATGGAGCGCTATGCTACTCTATTCTATTATATGGGAAGTGTTGTGCTTCTCTATAATTTTGTAAGGTCGGAGGAACAAATTAAAGGAAACCCCAATATAAGGGGTCATAGTGAGGTGTAGCCAGTGTGCCTTAGAACAAATTCTACAAGTGTCTGCAACTTTACCGGAAAGAAACACCATTCCTCTAAAAGATGTTCCCTTATATGTTCCTTCAGTTTTATTAAATTCAAATAACTTTATCACACTGGGGGCAATTAATTTGAAACGGCCTGAAGAAAACACACACACAGACAGGAACAAGATATAAGGGAGCTTAATGAAGGATAAGAAATGAGTTAAGTTAATGACAATAAAAGAAGCTGATGAAATTATCAGCTACAAAGAAGGTAGGGGTCAACGGTCAACAGTTGATGTAAAAAAAGGATTGTTGTTTTGATGATGGTGAAGAGATCTTTGTAGAACTAAAATCTCTCATAGGTGTTCATCTGGATTGAGTGGGAAGGCCATAGTGTGATTCACATCATTCTCATACTCATCAAACCAATCAGTGACGTCTCGTGCCTCATTGAGGACATTGCTCATCCTGTTTCTCCACTCAGGGTTTTCTTTTCATTGTCACCCATCTGTACATACATACATGTTCGTGTTTCTTTCTCGATTGGTTGGTGTGATCATAAAAGAATTCTGCAATGAGATAAATGTTTAAACAAGCAGCGTCTGTTGAGGAGAGAGCCATGTGCACACCAAAGCTACCATGACAAATCGACTGACACAGGCTGAGATCTTACGTGAATAAAACCAATCTATTTACACCGAACTCCAATTAGACAAGATACCTTGAATCTGAGTTAGTTAAGTTATAACAATGTTTAAAGTTAGAGTTGGTCTTCAAGAAATCAATGTAAGTCAATGTAATGACCTCAGAGGCACGACTACATGTGTTCTGTGTGTGTGTACTCAGAATAGTCTGACTAAACTTGGGTGAATAGCATGTTTATTATCCTCAGGATTTGTGGAGGAGTCTGTGAATCACATGCTTCACAGCTAACAAATACCTACATGCTGATTTAGACGAGGGCCTCGAATCAGCAGTGAAACGAAGCAGCTGAATGTGAGATTATTTAAAGAGGCTTTGCTACTCTGACAACTGTGTAACATGGTTAAATGAAAACAAATACTGAATTCAAATCCTGCTTTTTTTCTTGACCTGCATGTTACAATTATAAACATCTGAGAAACTCTAAAGATGATCTCAGCCAAGCGCTGCAGTTCTACATATGTGTTCACTATCTAGATGATTATGCAAGAAACTTCATACAAAAGTGTTTATCTGAGCAGGGGAACAGATTAGCTGAAGTGTTTAATTACCAGCACTGTGGTTAATAATTAAATGAACAGCTAATCCTCAAGTAACTGTGTTGAAACTTGATTAAAAAATAGTTCAAATGTGAAAGATGAACAAAGATTTCCGAGCTTCTGTCTGACTACTGACATATTCACTCATATTTGTTTAGTTAATTATCACCTTATTTAATCCCCATTCTGGTGATAGGCTGTATAATACATTTATTGCAATTATTTACTCTGTATTTTATATTGTCAATTATTTTCCTCAGAACTGTCTGTCTTATGATAATGATTTATCATGCATGAAATAACCATGATAATAATACTGGTTAAATGCCTTATACACAAATCAAATTCACAAAATACTTAACAAAAGAAAAAATAATAATTGTGTGTGTTTCCAAAATAGCACATAGATTCAGTGTGTTAGTTCATGGGGTGAGAGTAACACATATTGTGTTCTGAGTGGCTGTGGTTGTGCAGACAGCCACATGATGGCGTCATTAGACAGCTTAGTTTCATTGCCAACACTACATGTATTTATGGGTGCTGCTTTAGAGGCTGTTCCCCACCATTAAAGTCTTTTGTCTTTTTTGTTAATTATGTGTTTAAATTCATATTGTGCTGTTTTTTAATAAGTCTAATTATCTATATGTAATTTCCTTTGATAGTTTCTCTCTAATTTAATATGTATATCTAAATGAATTAGTTGGTTATGGGAATAACTATGATAATATGTTCCTGCATCACTTGATTAAAGACCTAACACTTAAATTGCAGAGTTGTTTAATGATCATTTTGCTTCCATTAGTACATCTACCTCCTCCCTGTCTCATTAGATAATTATTTCTGAATATTAAATGTAACTAATTCATACTAATGGAATGATCTCAGATGTTTGCAACACAACATATTTTTGTACCTTCAGTTTGGTGAACACAAGAGACCATAAAAGCAGTTTTTCACCATAGAATGATATATTTTGAGTTAATAAAGAAGACATCTCCAGCCATGCAACAGGAAATTAAGGATGGAGACTCTGAACAAATCCATTGTCACATATAACCTGCAAGAATCTCTCCTCCACTGTGGACGAGGGAGGATTGGTAATGTGGAAGATACATGTACAGATCCAGGTCTTGATCTATAACTGATCAAAGCTATGAGCTTTTTTCCCTGAAAAAATGAACCCCCCACCCCAACAATTCTCCTGCTCTTAAATATTAGTGGAGAGATTTTAAGTGTGAGGAACCACAGAGGCAGCAGACAAATGTTTCTTAGCATATATCAACCTTTACAGTTCAGTTACGTCTCTGGTTTAGCTCCTTATGGACACTGACGTATGTTCCTTTGTGCAACGAATGGAAGGATTTTTTTTAGTACTTGGGAAATTTTCTGTTGACATTAAACTGCCACCCCCCCCCCGAGGGCTTTGAGGAACAGGTTTCTATCTGAAAAACAGTAGACGATGCTGTTGCAACAGAGCAGGGAAATTTATTTTCTGTTTGAAAGTGCCTTTACAGTATCCCATGAGGTATACAATTTTTTATGAGATCAGACAAGAAAGGATGTCACTGACTGACTGAAAGGTTTTGTGTAAGAGGACATTGTCTCAGAATGGAGTTACACACACTGCATGGACAGACAGTTTCAGAATATCAACTTCATGGCACAGTTTAATGAGGATGAAGAGAAAGAATCCAGAATCGATGTTTTACATGACAAAATCCTTATTTAAAAGTGAGGATTTCATTCACAGTTGTGGTCCTATTTTGCATTCGCTCGCGTTCCAAGCATCACAAAAGGTGTGCGGCACCAAAACTATCCCAAAAGCCTGAAGCACAAACATATAAACCACCAAAATAAAACATCCCTGGTGAGGTTCTCCACTTTCTAAAATAAACCTTTCTACATATTGCTTATTTTTTTGGATGCACTTGTGGAAAAAATCTCTGTGACAATCAACATTAACCAAATAGTAAAACCCCAAACACGACTGGGAGATCACTAACTGAGAGGTTTCAGGTAAGTGAGAGTGATATTGCACTGCTTTTCATCAAACTAAAGGTGCTACACTGGAGCCGGACGGCCGTCAGTACACCCAAGATACAGGCACCCACTGCGGGGTGGAGGTGGCACGCTCCATGGCCTCCTCCACACCTTTGACGCTTTCATCCACGTCGTTGTTGACGAGAACCACATCAAAGAAGTGTCCGAACGTGGTCAGAATGGCGTCCGACTCTTTCTGGATCATCAGCAGGTTTTCCATCTAGGACACAAGACAGAGGGTGAGGATGGAGTTTGGTCTTTGAGGATATTTGAGCATATTCTGATATAGGTGTAGCACCTGGGAAGCTGTGTTGGTCGGAGCGATGAACACCACAAGGGGCGCAAAATCAGCCGTCCGCAAGAGTTTCAGGGTCTACATTAAAAGATGAAGAGGAGAATTAAGTTTGAGTGTTTCCATTTGGAGCATGCGCAAAACAAAACATTTACAACCTATGGGCAGTGTTGAAAAATTCAGACTACAATGTTTCCTTTCTTTCCTGAAGACCCTGTAAATGCTGACCTGTGGTTCCACGTCCACCAAGGCGATTTTTTCCTGCTCATGGATCTTCTGGATGGTCTCGATTTTGGTGCCAAACATGTTTCCCTGGAAGCTTCCGTACTCCAGCAGCTCATTCCCAGAGATGCACTTGGTCATGGCTTCGTTGGAGATGAAATAATATTCCTGCCCGTTCTCCTCATCCTTACGCTGGGGTCTGGTGGTGTCTGTGTAGGAAATGAAAGAATAAGAAAAAGGACAGTTTGGAAACATTTGCTGCTGCTCATGTGGGTAAGCATGTGCGTCTACTTACGTGGTGCTGGGTAGGAAAATTTATCCGGGTATTTGGTCAATAGTGCATTTTTGATATGTCTCCTTCCTACACCAGGTGCACCTAAAAGGAGCATAATTTTTACTTGCAAGGACATTTTTAATCAAATATTAACTTTTGCATCTGCACAGAAATTGATATAACACCTAAAAATTATTTAAAATATTTATAATATTTACACAAAAATCATATACTATAGATATATTAGATATATTGTGAAGTTCCAAAAACATATGTTGACATTTTTCAGTGAGGATGATCAGACATTATTTTATTTTTAAGAATATGAAATTATTGATATATCCAAATTTGGAAACTCACCAATTAGCACAAGTGTTTTTCTTTTAAAAGCCGGGAGCCGAACAACCTCCTCATAAGAAATCACATCCAGTTGATCAAAAACTGTAAAAGAAGAGATTTTATGTCAGATAAAATCACATGACAGCACATCTGAGAGGAAGTGCAGTAAGAGATTCCAGTGAGACACTCACTGGAGCTGTGCTTGGCCAGGTACTTGTCTTTGCACTTCTTCTTCTTCCCAAACGGGCTGCAGGACTGACTGCCCTCTCTGGCCTTGCTCTTACTGGCCACCCTCCTGCAGCACAAACACAGATTTAGCACAAGCCGGGAACAGTTCACACAGTTCGGAGGTCTTTGGCTTGGGATGTTAAGCACTTCAGGATTAATTGTCACATTGTATGACGGAGCTGTTTACCATTCTTGGAGCTCTGGGGAAGGTATTAGTCCAGCGAAGTCCGCAGTGTTGCTCTCCACTCTGCCCTGCCACCAGTTGGGATCCTGTTTGTTGATGATCTGAATGATGTCACCAGTTTTAAACTTCAGTCCAGCCTCTTTGCATGGGATGAGGTCATCCTTGGTGGGGTCATAGTCAAACTGGGCCCTCATGTACATCTGAATTTCAGAGCAAATATTTTGAATTTAAAAGTGGAAATATCTGGTGTTTGGAACTGAAATGTATATATACCCTTCCCCATGTGATTAATAATCTCCTATTGCCAACTGTAGCTCAGCTTTAGATACAGTCACTGATAGAAATGTGTTTGTTACAGCTGAGCAAAAATTAGTTTTACTTTTTTCCATTTTTTTTTCTATCTCTGAATGAATTGGGGCATTTTCTCAAGTTATGATTTGCCTGTTAAGCCAGATTCTTGCAGGGAAAATGTTTTTTTATGAATAATTGTTGTGAAGGGATAAATGCGCCTGAATTATAACTCGAATGGAGATACAGGTTCAACATTTTGTTTTTCTTAATGGTTTAAGCCATAAAAATGGGATACATGTTGAACACATGTTCAAAACCCCAACAACTCCTGTCTAACAATGGGTTGTGTGACAATGCACAAAATATAATTTTCTATAAACATACAGTATACTCATATACCAACCGGACTTCAGTGACTGTGAAAGCATCATAGAGATTAAATACTCATCGTGGGTCTTCAGCATGTACTAACAGTATGTTTGGAATCTACAAATGTTAAATAGGAAATTCACCCTCAAACAGAATATACACGTTCATGTCAAGATCTTACACAGTTCAAATTGAAAGAGCAACTTTATCCAAGTGATAGATTCCAGGATTGAAAGTCTATTTGTGCTGCCAACTAATTTGTTGTCTTTTTAACGTTAACCAATCATTCAGCTAAAAAAGGTTTTGTTTATGGAAACCCAGGATTAGAACATTAACTGCTCTGGGTATATACATTTTATATAACGTTTATATATTATAGAGATGAGCTTGAGGACCACGTGTAAACTGTCCGCAGGGTAAATTATTAGTATTGTTAGTAGAGTTCATGAACATTTGTGGATTCGTCCAAAGTGTCTCCAGTGGTGGTTATACACAGACACGCTGTGGGAGCACTGGAGTGATCTGGGTCACCAACACTAATGTTCATAGGGGATATAAGTTTGCAAATTATATTAACTACGCCTACTGATTAATGGACTACAAGCTTTTAAGTCGACTGCTATCACTGGCCACAGCAAAAACAGAAATGAAATCAGTGATAAACTGTATTAAGACAAGTACAACATCACCAAATACAATATAATATGCAGGCACATATATTAAAGCTCTTTTAAATCCACGTTTCCTATCACATAGTAATGTCCATGTCCAGCGAGCATTTTTACGCTGCTCGTGATTGGCTGTTGGAGAGAAGGAAGTGTTGTGACCAGTTGATGGCAGAATGAAACATACTACAACAGTGTTTCAAGTCAAGCTAGCAAAACTAATGTGAGTGATGTTCTTAATTTTATAGTCACCTGGGTTGTTCATTGACTAAAAGAAGATTCACCTAATAAAGAACAAAATGCTTTTTTAAACAAAAGGTTTCAGATCAAAGAAAAGATGAAACGAAAAGCAATCAAACCCATCAACACAACGTCCCGTCTGAGTGGAACGCTAATGCAACACAATGCAAATGCACAAGTGCTTATTGTGCCACTCATGTTACTACCTCACAGGCCCGGGATCGACTCTGCTGGTTGGAAATGATCTTCATTGTGACGACACCATTGGTTTCTTTCTGTGTGTAAAAAAAATAATTACCATTAACCATAGAGCCAAAATATATTTTCTTATCTAAGTTATATGGTATCAACCTACCAGAATCTTTTGTAGCTGGTCTACAGTTTGGTTTGTTACACTTTTCCCATTGATTTCTGCTATTTCATCCCCTTCATGTAAGGACCCTGGAGAGAAGAAGAAACCACAAGTGTACAATGCAGTTGTTATAGTCCAAATATGCACTAGCAACTACTGAGGTAATCATGTTTGAGAATCATTTATAATGCAGCCACTCATCAGGATATGAGGTAGGCCTCCCCCAGTGCACACACATGCTCCTGCTAAAACTGATCTGCATCCACTGGGACAGAATATTAGAGTCGGACCATTATGGATTTATATATATAAATATTGGCAAATGATTCATAAGAAGTCCTTATTAAACCTTTACAACTAAATAATATAATTGAGATTTTATATTTTACAGTTTGCCCACAAATAACTAAAAATAAGAAGAAAAAAACACAATTAGAACCAAACTAATATATAGAACTTTCTTCAACCCACTCGCCCAAACATATAAATATGTGATTTTCATACCTTGTCTATGGATCATACCCCCATGTAGTATTCTGGCCACAGTGCACCGTTGTTTGTCGTTCAGCTTTAGGGTGACCCCCTACAGGCAAACACACAGATAGTGAGGAGGAATCAGCAAAACACAATCCTGGAAATATGCATATATTTTTTGTTGGGGCATGTAAGTGTGTATAAAGGCCGATAGTTCACCATTGGCTCTGACGGATTCTTTTCAAATGCTACTTCTTTCATCCTGGTCAGGTCTGTACCATTCATGTGTTTCGTGCTGCCGTTGGTGAAAACTTCAGCTCCCTTATTCTCATATGTTTGCATAGTTGCCTGTTAACAAAAGAAGGAGAGGAAAAAAAGATATTCAACATCTCTTATTTTATCATTATGGAAGGAACTTTGCTTTAATATCATGCTGTTAATTTAAAAAAACATTGTTCCAAAGAATCAGTCGGTTCATCTGATCAATAACACACTGGTATTTCCAATAACTGCAGTGAAACCTCTCTGCTGATGTACGCCAACAGCCATGTTTTATTTGCAGTTTCAACATATGTTCAAGGTTGAAAATTAACCCGGCGTTATAACACCTCATTAACCCCATCCAGGGATCTGGTCCACCAGGTTCATGTGGTCATGGATACCACCAGGCTCAACAGGTCATCATCGCATTAATGTAAGGAAACAGATTCTTCTTGGAAAATCTGCATGAATCAAAGTTTGGTGTGGGAATAAAACAAACAAGCAAATAGTGACTTTGTGGATTCATGTTGTACTTTCACACTGACACTAATGTAATCTGATAGCTGTGAATCCACCGTCCGCACAGTGTCAACAGAGGTTGTCTCAGTGCTCTGTAGTAAGGTAAGGTAACGAGGGATCATACAAAATAAAAAAGTCCTGGGAAGTAAATTAAGTAGATATTCTGTATGTGGACAGCACTCGTGTAACAGAACAATGAATGCACATTATCAAAAGGTTCAGAAAACAGTCACTAAAGCGACATGATGACATGCATCAGCACAAAATGTCTGCACAAAAATGACACATCAGCAGTCCTTAAGCAAAAAATAAAAAAAGAAATGCATCTTCCAGCATCAGCACTACTATAAACCAATAAATGTCATTATCGTCCTCCTCCACCTCTGCCCCACAATACTGCCCATAACAGCAGTTTGGTACAATTGTTCTTGTGTGAGTGCACTGTATAAAACTGAGGCTATAACGAAATCATGATTTAGTAAACAGTGGCAGACGATCTTGTGATCTAGCAATTTTTGTTTTCCTATTTTTGGATCACTGGAGAATCGAGACAGGCCTGAGCGTCAGAGGCATGATAGACTGCCGGGTGTTGTTCTGTGAACCATGATAGTTATTTTGCAACACTTGTGCTGTTATATGTCAGGGCTGAGACCAGGAGGAATCTTTTGGATGAGGCGAACAGATGGAATTACATCCTCACATGAAAGGGCCCTGTACGGCACTACAGATAAAAATCACGACGTAAATCCAAAGCTTGTTTTACTCGCTATCAAGGAGCAGAGCATTTAAAGCTGCTCCAGAGAAAAGAGGAAATACAGATTTGTGGATCTGTGTCAATGTTTGTAATCTCATGACTCATGTAACATAATGTGATGAGCCACAAAGCTTAGTGAGCACCTTAAAAGTAGAGCGGCTGGGGAGTCACATAGCCTAATCAATGCAAGTCAATGTAATGTCCTCTGAAGTAATTGAGACTGTGTTGGTGGGAATGTGCCCATGACAAACAGGACTAATTATATTCTCATGTAGATGATGTAATGTTCACCCTCAGCATTGTGAGCAGGTGACAAAGGTCAAATCTAAAGGTTGAATCTTATCACCCTTCACGTGTGTGATTAGATTAGCATTAGCATTAGCATTTAAAAGCCTTTTACAGTAACTGCGTCTCATCATGGCAGTGAAAATGAGCCCCGTAACTTAAAGAGATAGAACACACACAAAACACTTTTCACGTGCTTTGTCACAATGTGTTCCAATCTGTGTTAACAGTCAACACAGTGTCAATAGAGCCAGGAAACCCTTTCAGAAACCTGAATACCAGTGTGTGTGTGTGTGTGTGTGTGTGTGTGTGCGTGTGCGTGTGCGTGTGGTGGGGTGGGGTATCAAGAGAATAAACAAACAAATGGATGAAAGGCAGACTGCACTGAGGAGAGAGCGGAGCGCTTCCTGCTCTGGACGTTTGCTCGTCCTTTTATCTGGGCTAGATCAAGCAGAATGTGACGCTGCATTTCAGACAGAGAATCTCTGGAGGAGATAAATACGTTACAAAAACTTGTTTATGCTCTTCTACTTGTTTCCTGAAATTTGGTTCCATCATCTAATACGACTGATTAGGTTACAGTGCAATCGCTCTCTGTCTTATCTTTCCGTCGTCTTGAGGTGATTTGTTGTTCCAGTCATGAAATATTAATTATTAATCCCTTCAACCCTGTGTAGCATTTAGGGTGGATCTCCATGACAACAGGATGTATTGATCACTTAAAGGAACACAAATGAAGATCAATATTGGACCTATATGGGAACTAACAGTGCAGATTAAAGCCCTAAAGGACAAACTCAAATCTTTAACAGCTACAGGCTCTTTGAATTGATCAGGAAAATGAAGTAAGACAGTTATTTATCTCATGCTGGGGCTCATGTGACTAAAGCAGGATTTGTCCAAACTTGTAAGGATTTTAATTTCAGGTCTGACAGGGTGACTGCAGTGTGGCTAAATTAATAGTCATGTACTTGTCCTTGAGTTTAAAGGAAAGAAGTGCATGTTCTATGTAGGAGTGTTTTTGGAGACAGGACAAAACCACTCTGCAGTAAACAGAGCAGAACAGGCTGAGTCTTGACCAGAATAAAGATAAAGGATCCAGAGCTACAGTGAGTCACCCCTGACCTTTCACAGGCTACAGTCTCCACTGAGAAAGAATGCATCATGTGACTTCACTTTAAGACAATGATTTCACAAATCAGCATCGAGCAGAGGAACAAACTGGCTTGATCACAGCTCAAGGCTATAGAACAAAAAACAAAAGTGCTGATAACAGGAAAGGAGTTTCTTCCCTTCACCGTTTCCCTCTGTGGCTCCAGTGCTGACTGTTGAAATTCTTCGAAGTTGTTCAGCACAAAGAGTTCCCTCAGTATCACCGGCTGGCAGATCTGAGCCCGGAGGCCGTCGAGGATTTTAATTTCACCCCCATGAGAGGGGCTGCGGCTGTTTTAAACTTTGTGGGTTTTCAAGGTGTTTCCCCATGTTGAAGGCACAGTCAGTTGGCTTTTTAAAACATTATCCTTCCCTCAGCGTGAAAACAAGTTGGAACAAAGGCCTGGCACTGTGTGATGTAGTAAACAACCTGCATGGCGTCCGCTTCACTGTTGACATTAATTTTTCATCTGCAGCCCCACAGGCAGAATTAAACAGCACTGCTGAAAATGAAAATAAGTTTGTTTACATTCCAAATGTTTTCTATTATCCTGCATTACACTGCACTGTCCTGGTGGAAAAAGGCCCATTGATGAACGACGTGACAGTCACATGTTCACATGATTATTAAGGGATTAACAATTAATAGCCGATAAATTGTATGGCTCCATGCCACTGTCTTACTGACTCATTCCCCTTCCCTGACATGTGATACAGCCTACGCTTTCTCTAATCTGTCATATGACTTCCATAAGCAGTTTTTTGGAGGAAATGCAGAAGTGAAATTTGCCAATGATATGTCTACTGGACTCCAGTTGAGGCTGACTGTGTAATACTAGAGAGGTGAACGAACTAACATACAGACGTAGACAAGAAAAGACAGATCGACATGTTTATGTAGGAGTGGTAAAAAATATCTGTATTTTGTATTTAGTTATATATATATTAAGTTTTGAAGGCACATGTATTTGTTCAAGACTAAAAGGCCCTAAGATGAGACTTAATGATCTTTTTTGTACAATGTTCTCACCTGAGTACGTCTTAACCTCTGTGAAACAGACACCGAATTGCAGCAACACAAATCCTGCACTCTACTGGTTTAGGGACATTTTGTGTTCTTCTTCCTTAGACAGACTTAGTGATTGTTATATGATTGTCTAGCAGTATATCAATTACTAAAGAATCTGTGTATCGTGATGTTATCGTGAGCCATGTATCACTGCATGTATTGTAAATTGCTAAAGAAAGTGCAGTGTCGAGCTTGGTGCGATTTGGACAAGCAATCACGATATTTGTTTAGCATTTAGCTATATATAGTTCAAAGCTTTGTCAGTTTATGGCTATTTCCCATTGAAGTGTGGCTCATGTGGGCAGAGTGTGTTTGTTGAAGGGGAACTAAGATCAGTCTTTAAGAACTTTTTTGTTTGTTTCATCTCACCTTGTCAAACTGGCACCAAATTGAATACAAAGCGAATAAATCCACAAATCCTGCACTATACGCCTTTAGGGGCCTTTTATATTCTTCTTTAGTTAGACAGATACCTGATGTGGCTTCCAGTATTTATCGATTATCGCAGAATCGCTGTGTCGTGACATTATCATGGGCTGTGTATCGCACATCGTACCCTGTGTTCCCCTGCGATCACCCCCCCTAGTTGTGAGTTGTTTGGTGGAGACAGAGCTGGGGTCTATTTTTAGAATCCAAGTCCACGAACAAACATGTCATGTGCCCCCACGATCGCCACTTCCCGGAAGCAAACATGCACACCCAAGAAAAACAAAATATGTGGGGGTGCAAAAACAAAAACCCAGGAACAGCTAGAGAGATGTAGATCGACTGCAGCACGTACCTTGTCACACTTTGGTTTGTTTTGCAGGAGCTGCTCCAGGTAGAGATCGGAGAGGGCAGTCCGCGCGCTGCTGACGGACTCCAGGATGACAGCAGGTTCGTTCTTACTGGATTTTAACGTCATCTTTTCCCCTGTTGGCCGGAAAAAAAAAAGATAGAGCAGGAAAAAAAACCCACCTATGAACCCGATGTGCCCTCCGATCAAGGTCCGCAGGAGGAAGGGCCGGGGATATAATAAAAGCCTGCGGGAGAAGAAACCGCTGATAAGGGCGATGTGATAAAGTGAGTGAGAGTCCAAGGTTTGGATGAGCTGCAGGGGAGAGAGAGGAATGAGAAGACACCGCTGACAAAGCAAGTAAACATGCGACTGACTGAGAGGGCAGGCTGCTGCTGCATTCAGGGGCTCCCTGTCAGCTCCGAAATCACAGCACTCCGGCTCCACAGCGCCCCCGCTTTGACCTGGTTGTATTCTCCACACAGTCCCAGGTTTGGCCCACATTTACGTGTCTGGATCAGAAAGCTGCAGCTGATTAAAAATGCTGCCGGACTCCTCACTCACACCGAGAAATGGTTCATATCATCGCAGTTCTCAGATCATCGCACTGAGATGTAAAGTACTTTGAATGACTTTGTGCTTGAAACGTGCAATCCAAATAAACTTGCCTTGCCTTGCCTTACATCCCACATTCAACATACTGTATCACGTGCAATAATGGCAATTGGGTGGTCCGCTCCTGTTTGCCAGATCAGGGCCACAAGTGAGCCAAAGCAAAACCACATGTCAATTAAAGGTGACACCATTTAACGCATGGGCCAGTTTTAGAACTACACCTTGCCTAGAGCACCACGTTTGCCAAAAAGGCCTGCATTTGTTTTTTGATTTGGGCCATCACTTTAGACTGACATCTAGCTGCCCCAGTGCTATGCATATTATTCTTATGTTTATTTATACTCTGTGTTCTTCATAATATATATTACAAATAAACAGAATAATAAATAGTTAAAACCAAACGTTAAAATCAGAATACAACATGTAAAACACAAGAATAGCTAAAAAGTAAAACCAAAAGGTAAAAAAACTGATTAGTGATGGATAGACCAGATGTAATGTAAGTTTTTGGTTTTCATTAAATGTTTCTTTTTTGTTTATTGTGAAGAGCTCTGTTAGTTTTGACACACTCCAGGATTCACAGATAAAAACTGTCTATGATGTTGTTTTTCCTTGCCACATCAAATTGTATGTAGCATGGTCGTCTCTGTTTGATTTGACTTAACATCCAAATATCAAACCATTTTTACTTCTCTAATTTTCACAATGAATGCCCCGGCTGACAAGGAAGTATATTCTCATTTCGAGTTAAACATAGAATAATTATTGGTAACATATGCCTGACAATGAAACATCAGCCGTGTCACTAATTTGGTTTTATTTCTCATTTGAATTAATGTAATGTAATGCAAGTCATGTTGAAAAGAAACAGAGAGTTCTAAACTTCCGACGGTTAATGAACGCAGCATTACCGCAGCATTTTCAGCAGAGCCACAAGGAAGCAGAACAACAGTGACGGTGACCCAGCAGCTCTCTGGGGATGAGGCTCACACACGACGCACCACTCTGCAGTGTCACTGTGCCACTGCTGCACTACTGAGACATTTAATCAATAATCACCAGTGACTATTACATGAGTGGATTTGAGCCACATGGTGACAGTGCTGCAGATTCACGGGTGTGTTAGTGCTACTTCCTCCTGCACTGGGGGCCATAATGCACATGTACACAGATGCATAACAGAGCCATTTGTGTACATTTAAGAGAAGAGGTTTGAATTTAAATTTGATATATGGACACATGTTTGAACATTTTTCAAATTGCTTCCATTTTTATTCTGTAGATCCTAAAATAAAATTCATTTTTCTCACAAAACATGCCATATTTGGCAAAGAGAGATATAGTTCAGATTTTCCGGAGAGTCCATTAGCTTATCAGAGATTTTTGCCTGAAATATATACAATATTCCCCTTTTAATTTGACTGTATATACAAACTGCAGTGTTTGCATAACCTCCTTTTTTATAGGAATGATGACTTCTTAACAAACCAGACAGACGGAGGTGAAAGGTTGTTGTTACACATTTAGTCTGTTTGGAGGCTGTATAATGTTTTTGTTCTTGTATTGGACTTCGTGTCCTGTTTTTGGATCTAGCTATGTGAAATAGGGTCAAGTGTGAGCTGTACAAACAGCTGAGCTCCACTGATCTCTATTATGAAACACAGGGTAATCAACGGTGAGGGGAAACAGTTGTAGTAAGGACATGACCACTGGTATTCAGATAAGACTCCAGAGGGAGCAAGTACACATTCTTCTCCCATGAGAAAGGCCAACAAAACAAATAATGGCTTCATCTTCATTTCTACTGCTCCTGCTAATACCCATCCTTGCTGTCTATGACCAGTCCTTTGGAAATATCTCTTGATCTGTCATAAAATTGAGTTCCAGGAATATTTTTAACAGTGAAAACAAAAGCAGATCACACACAAACATCGTGACCTGATCCGCCCTCCGGGTACTCAGTGTCATGTTTCACTCTCACATCCACCAGGATTAGCTGCAGCATTTATCACTGAGGTGGAGTACCACACCCAAGAACTAACATTATAATACAGCTATGTTGTAGGTTAAAGCAATAACCTTAAAGGTACAGTGTGTAGAATTCTCCTTCCAAACATGAAAAAGAACCTGTGGTAGCTTCAGTCGTCATAAAAACTCAAAAGGTGTTTAGTTTGTCCAGTCTGGAATAATGTAAAAAACATGGCGGCCTCAGTAGAGAGGACCCCCTCGATGTAAATATAAAGTATTTAGATATAAAGGGCTTTTTCTTTGGGTAAAGAAAAGTACAATTCATACAATTTAGATGAAACGAACTAGTGAAAACATCATGAGGATTATTCTACATTAAATTTCTGCTAATAGATCCCTTTCACCTAAATCTTACACACTGGACCTTTAAGAGATAAAGAGGAGACGACTAAGGCATGGCCGGCGAGAATGGTAGCAAACAATTTTGACTAAACCATGACAAATAAACTACATTTGTAACAACACACACACACACACACACACACACACACACACACACACACACACACACACACACTTTGACACTGGAAACGTCTGTTAACTCAGAATTGGTCAAACCAACCAATGTGGTTTTTGTAAAAATAAATGCATTTGTATGTTTTGCCAGGTGTGACCAGCGCTGTCCCCTTATGAGCAGATCTCTTAGGACTGATGTTAGCAGCCGGTGTGAACGGGGCTGTGGAGTCACATTCCACTGTCAGGTGTGAACTGATGAATTGAGCTGTCCGTCTTTGATTAGATCACCTGAATTAGATCATTACAGGGAAAATGAAACTATTCAAACTTTGTTACAGACAACAGGCAACTACATTCAGAAACTTTATTGTTATTGTGCAAGCACAACAAAATTACAAGAAGTGTCAACCCAAAATCAAATTGTGGCTGTTATAAAGATTTACACAGTTAATGTACAAATATGAAAACAAGCTGTGAAATAAAACAGTACAAGCAAAAATGAATTAAATAGAGTTCTTCAATTAAATATCAGTTGACATAAATCAGGGTAACGAGGGTGCAGAGAGCAGACAATGCTCACCAAATGATTCTGGTGATACCACTATTTACAAAAATGAAGTAATAGTAATATTTCTGCTGCATCCTAAATTTCCCTTCTATCTATCATTCTCCATTTCTTTCTTTCTAACTTTCGCCCTCCCTCTCTCTCTAGATAGGTGTTGCACTTTGTGGACGGTGCCTGTGCGCACCATGGTTCACAGTTGGCTGCACGTGAGGACCTCAGTCTGCAGCTCTCAGGACAGGTCGTGAGAAAGAAAGTGATCCTAGAGAATTTCTCCTCTTTACTCTGATCGGAATGATTTAACCAGCACTAAAGAAGAAAGGCACCTACTCTCCATCTCTCTCATCAAGAGGAGGAGGTGATCCAAGCTTAAGATCCGGGTGCGCACACGTGAGTCAAACGGCTCCACCGGTGACACAGATAGTCCGAGCTGTCTAACATTAAACCGCCTCACAGGAGCTGTGCAGAGTTCAGTGATCAGTATCAGTTTATCATGTAACCAGCTGAGAGGCTGCAGTGAAGCCGGGAGAGCAATACAACTTTTCCTGGAAAGGGTCGTTTCTGCGCTTGCACGCTGACTCTGGACTATATTCTCTGAGTGTGCATAGTTTTGTGTTCGGGATGTTTGTGTGGAGGCAGAGGAAGCTGCAGACTCATCTGCTGTCTGCGCTCAGAAACACACGGACGCCATTGAGGCTCAAGCTGCAGACCCGCGCCTGTGCAGCGACCCCTGCAGCTCCTCACTTGCACAGCAACCACCTCGGTGAGTGTTATATATTAAAATGCATGTGAGGCCAACTTTGCACAAACAATTCATTCAAATTATGTATGAATCCGCCAGTGGTCAGCTATGAGGGCACCCAGATGCGTCTGAACTTCGTGTGGCTGCGGGACCACTGCCGCTCCGCCTCGTCCTACAACTCCAAAACCAACCAGAGGAACCTGGACACCGGCAGCATAGAGCTCAACATCCGCCCTGACACTGCAGCAGTGGAGGGTGGTCGCCTCGTCCTCACGTGTAAGTTTGAGGGGAGCTGGAATATGAGACAGTTGTAAAGTCACTACAAAAGTCTGGGTTACACGAGGGCAAAGCAAGCAACTTTGGCCCCCAGAGACCCCGGGGCCCCTTTTACATTTTGATCCCTTGCATTTGTTTAATGTGGATGAATCACTGCATTATTCTTAAGTTTAACTCTGCTTTCCAGACTATGTAGTTTATTATTTGCTTACATGGTGCATCCTTTTAAATAAATTCTGTTTCATTAAATATCCCCAAATGAAGAAAACAGAAACCATAGGGCCACTAGTTCTGGGAGGTTTACAATAAAAACGTTATATTCTTTATTCTTCTGTGTACATTGTGTTTGACAAACATATTTTTATATTTGAACTAATCTGACACTGCATTTGCAACACTATCAATAAGTGTCTTTAAAAAATCTATGTGACATTGACGTCATATTGCATCGCACCTCTGACAGGGTTGAGCAAGGACAGTAAGCTCTGATTGGATGGAGTATCTAAACTTCAGCAACTCCTGAAGATACAATGACCTACTCTGTAAAAAGTGTGACTGGGTAAAATTAATATTTACTCAATAAATAATAGTACATTTGACAGTATGTGTAGTTTGGACTGACTATTCAAATGCTTTTATAGAGTTTAATCAGATGTTTGTTTTTAATCATTGTTAACTTCCACCCAAGACTTTTTTTTTTGTGCCACATGGATCTTAAACATCACTTGCCACACCAGGGACTGCCGTAGCCAATTTCAAAGGTAGGACCTATTTTATAAATCTTTTACCAGGTTTCTGCAGTGGATGAACATTAAAGCAATTTAGCAAGTTTATGATGCCTAACATGGAAACTTGTGCATCCACTACAATTTGATTTAAAAATATGGCAAGGACTGAAAAAGTTGTCCAATTTCCCCTCCAAGAGCCCTCCACCCACACAACATTAAGCTAGCAAAATTAGTATTACAAAGTATTAGTTGTGCTAAATTTAGCTTTCACAAGAAAAGTGCATGCAAGTGGACATAAATGTTTAATGTACGTAACATGCCATTAAAACATTAACATTTTGAAATATTTAGAATTTAGCATTTTGATTGAAAGTCTGTCACTGTGCTTTTGTGCACACACTTTGTGTGTTTGGTTAATCCAAAATTCACTGAGGCTCATTAACCACACAGTGTCATGTCTCTAAAAGATCCCCTATTGTTGAGACAGTGGTGGGACTAAGCACATAAAGAAAACAGGATTACGACAGATGTATGCCACTTTTTTTTAAAATGCCAGGTTAAGCTTGTGTTAAGCTGCTTGTGTATATATATATATATATATATATATATATATATATATATATATATAAAGAGAGAGAGAGACTTTCCAAAAATGTTAGTAGTATAGTATCATTTTCTTATCATGGTGACAAAGGTTGTAAACCTGTAACCCACAAATGTTGATTGTGTTTCATTATACCTCTAATTTGTGCCATGTTATCTGTGTATACAATCTAAATAATAATAATATAATTTTCTTTTCAGGTGTATGAAGAATCGTCGTCTGTAGTTTGTCAAGTATGTATCATATGCACATTTCACATACAGTGCATGTTGGATAAAGGTTTGTACACCATACATGTATATTTTGCATTCATTTATTTTGGAAATCCACTTTTGCCCGTTAAAAAGCGGAATGGCAACCGTTTCATTGTCAGTGATGTTCTAATCACTTATTTTTCTAAAATTGAAATAAAAGCCGAAGAAATACAAATAACATTTTTCTCATACGCACTAAAGTTAAAATAAAAATGCCTTTGTTTTCTTATGCTCCTCCTTCTGTTTAGTATTTATAATTTTTGTCATGTTGCACTTCAACACTGTTGCATTATAACGTTTGGACACAGTTGTATAAAATAAATGCAGTTGTACCTACTTTTTGTCATTGTGGTCTGTGGACCAAAATTTAGTTAACTGTTGCACTAAAAAGCCATGATATTGAGTTAACTCTAAATTAGAAAATGATGGCCACAAAGTGACTGATAGAATATCATTGTAAATGTAAATGTGTTAATATAACTCAGAAGACGGGCTGTTATTTAGTGACTCCAATTCAATTTCACGCAGATTATTAGTGACTCTAAATTAACTTCTTGCAGATAATTGGTAAATCTAAATCAAATTCACCCAGTAAATTTAGACCCAGATAGATAGTAAATCTAAACAACCTTTGCTCAGATAATTAGTAAGTGTGTTTTTTGTGAAATTCATTGTGATTTACCAAATCCTACAGATGTTTTGATTTAGATTCAGTTAATTTCTTCAAATATATTTAAAATAATTTACATTTGTAGAATTTAAAATATTGTGTCATCTTGTTGCCATAAAGTCACCTTTGGTCAAAATCTTTGCAGTGTTCACAGTATGAAGTGAAGTGGAATTTTCCTCCATGTCATGATGAGATTTTATTGGGCGAAGATTGTCTCTGTTGGCAGGTGATCCTCAGGGTGTTGTCAGCAATGAAACAAAACCAGGACTGATTAAGTTGTAAACCATCGTTCACGCTTTAAAGGAAAGTTATGTAATGTGTGATTGTCAACCTTTATCTGCAACTAGATAATTGAAACACTTAAAATGGCTTCATGCAAGTTTTTGCTATTGCTACACATCCACGGTTAACATGAACAGCTCTTTACTGACCAGTGTAGCAGAAATAGAGGGCACAAGAACATCGGTAGACTTAAGTCCTTGCACACATGGTTAGACTGAACAGGTCTGTCTCTGCACATATCTCTCTATGCTCCCTCATATGTCACTAATAAGGAGCTTAGACATTCTAAAATGGCTCCAGGGGGGAGATTAAGGAGACTGACAATCTGCAGGAAACTGTAACCAGTTTGTCAGGGCAAAGATGTGTGAACAAGCTGCTGTGAAAACTGTTCCTTTGTGTTCTTTGCCTTTTTCTAGTAGAAGAACAAGCTGAAATACAGTTGCCACAGCAGTCAAGAGGTGTAAGAAGAACAATACTACCGATAAAAGAGACACAGACATAGCTGCTTCTGATTTTGCACGAGGACCATATGCAGGAATTAGTGACATTGCAAGAAATCAACCTGTGTAGATGACATCCAAAATTAAAACCATTACTCACAAAACTGACAGATTTAACTTTGCCAAAGGACATGATAGGAGGCAATGAATGTTAGCAGCAAATTCATTGCAACTGATATGGGTCTCCATCGGTGTAAAAGGTGATGACACAATGAATGCAAAGTTGAATACCCAAATATTAAATAAAAAGAAGACTCAAAGTCTCAAGAAGTGATTATGACCTATAGCCTAGAATGTTCCTCGAATTGGATCCAACAGAAAAACTCTCAACTGTTTTAAAGTGGAAGCTCAAGCAACAAAAACAAAAATCCCATCAGCTGAAGAGAATTATTTGAGAAGAAAGACATCTCCCCTCAGATTTCTGCAAGACTGGAATCATCCATGCCCTGGAGCATCAGGATGGAATATCATTTATGTGTGTACTTACTTTTATTGCAAATTCATTGTTTTAAAACAGTTTATTTAGTCATAGAGTACAACATTACAGATCTTATAGATACATTGGCTTCATCATTTTACAGTTGTTGACCCGGGGTGTATTCACTTTTCGCATTTAAAGTATTCTATTCTTAATTACACTTTCTATTTGACTCAAAGAAAACTGTGTTTTATTTCTTGTGCTATTGTGTCCATTAACACTGCTCAATGCATTTATTTAGGGACACAGCCACCACCCAAGTAATATCTGAAAAGGCAGATTAATGGTTCTCTTGGGTCTGAGCTACTGTTGTAGTCCAGGTGACAGAAGCTGCAGGATTCTCCTTTCAAATGATGAAACATGTGCTACACACAATGCAGCACAGCACCTCCTCCTCCTCCTCCTCCTAATCACCCAGATGGTGCCGACCTCACAAGCCCCTGAGCTGTTCCCCCAAGTGGCCCCAGCAGACAGAGTTGAACTAGTTTAAGTACAAAACCCTGACTAGCTGGAGCCATCCCTCATTCTGTCTCCACCAGGAGCCTGCTGCTGCTGCACGCAGAGGCAAAGAAGCCATGAGGGATTTAGCTGCCGCTTTTCAGAGTAAGAGGAGTAAATGGTCCCACAGCAGCCAGGTGTGGAAAAGGAAACAGGTGCTACAGTGTTCCTTGCCAATGAATTACACGGGCTTCACACTAAGCTCTCACACTTGCCCCGAACTGTGTGACCCCTCCACCGAGCTGGAAGATATGGTGTTGGAACATTCAATTCTTAAAATGAGAAGCGCTACATGGGAAGGAATATAATCATCACCAGAAGCTTAGGGTTAGGGTTGATAACATATCAGTGCATTCAGAGTCAGACAGCTTTGGGATGTCCAAGCTTTTGCTCCATGGGCACCAGTTTGGCTTCCATGAACTATTTTCTGAGAAGTCAACAAAATGTAAAAAGTTTAAAAGGTTAAAGAAAGTGGGAAAAATATTCTTGCAGCTGCTCAAACATTTAATGTGTTCTTCCATTACCCATACTGCAGTCTTGCATGGTAAACTTTTCAATAATCAGTATTTATATATACTCCTGCTTCCTCCCACAGTTCAAAGTCTTGTTAGTTGGTGTTAGGTTGAATGGAAGTTTTAAATTGCTCATTGATGTGAATGTGGACGTGAATGGTTGTTTGTCTCTCTCGACCTGTCCAGGATGTACCTCAGTCAGCTGGGATCGGCTCCGGCCCCTCCATGCATAAATACTGTATATTGACTTTCATAAAAAACTAATGAAGACCAGTCAAAAGCACAGTTTTAAATGCACACCATGTTTTCCATGTCTGTTTCCCAGGGCCTGATGGCCACGTGTCCAAGTACAGCCTGAGCTGGTTAGCTCAGAACAGCTATGAGAGGAAGAAGAACAGCACTGTCCAGCCACGCTTCCTTTGGAACTCAGACATGTACAAAAACGAAAACGTACCATCAGCCAAATGGGAGAGGTTTATGAGCTGTGATGACGAAGTGAAGAAGTTTCTTCAGAACTATCTTCTGTACGGCATCGCTTTTGTAGATGATGTCCCAGCTACAGTGGAGGCCACGGAGGCTGTTTCCCAGAGGGTCAGCCTCATCAGGTATCCTACCCTCTGGTAGAGTGAAGCTCTTTCACCTGCAAAAGACATTCAGCATTAACAAAGCACAGCAGTTACAGACGACGTCCAGCGTTGTACAATTATTCCTAAAACACTTGTGTTTTGTGTGTTACTCACCAGAGAGACCACGTATGGAAGAATGTGGTGCTTTACTTCAGACCATTCCAGAGGGGACAGCGCCTACAGCCAGCTGGCCCTGGATCGCCACACTGACACCTCCTACTTTCAGGAGCCATGTGGGTAAGTGGAGGAGTGATGGACTGATGTGGGGTTTCAAAACAGCCTCAAGAGGGGTTTTTTTTGTGTTTCACTGACATTTGATCCAAAAAAAGTTGTTATAATAGTTGTTAGAACTCTGTTTATTCTTCTTTTTTACTTGATATCACCGTTTTTGCAGAATACAGGTTTTCCACTGCCTGAAGCACGAGGGCACTGGGGGAAGGACACTACTTGTAGATGGGTTCTACGCTGCGGAGAAGTTACGGCAGCGGTCGCCTGAAAACTTTGAGCTGCTTTCCCGTGTGCCTATCAAACACGAGTACATTGAAAACACTGACAACCACCAAAACCACATGAACGGAGTCGGGCCTGTGCTAAACGTCTATCCTTGGAACGATGAAGTTTACCTGATCAGGTATGTCTGTTCTTAAATGTGATGTCATACTCACATTTGAGCAGAAGCAAATGATCATACATTTTATCACAAGATTCATGTTTGTCTTGAAATCCCACCTAATCAGCATGTTATTTTATTCATCGTAGTATTTCTCTTATCTATAATTTTATACATATTGTAACATAGCATTGTATTTCTTTCCAAATTTTTGTTTTGAATCACAAATCTAGTTGCTTTTTGTACAATATTCGGGTTTTGTTAGATTTAGACAACAAAACAAACTTTGGTTTAATAAAAGATGAATTGAGTAAAGCAGATCTTTTCAAAATGTTAGAACCACAAGTTGGAAAAAATTTGTGCCAAATCTCATGTGACTCATGGATGTTTTCTCAGGAGAGGCTAAAATCTGGGTGTGAATAGCTACGCTGGGAGCAAACAGCTTCTGCCTTAAAGGTTTTGTGACTTCATAAACTGCGGCCATGCAACATGTATGAGATTATCACTTGAGATTTAAATAATTTTACTAACTACTACTCTTTATAAGTCTCCTCGTTTGACTATTCATTACTGTCCTGAATAAAAAATATAGATTTGGTTTAGAAACTATAATGACTTTCTTTCTGGTTTTGTTTTTTGAAGGAATATTCAGTAATTAAGGATTTAAACTCAGAGTGCTTTTTCTTTTGACAGATACAACAACTATGACCGATCAGTGATTAACACAGTCCCCCATGACGTTGTCCAGAGATGGTATGAAGCACATCGAGAGTTGACAACAGAACTGAGGCGACCAGAGAACGAGCTGTGGGTGAAACTGACTCCAGGAAAAGTAAGAAAATTACACTTTTTAAAAGTCCAGTCTAAAAAAACAACACCTGTCAGTCTCACGTATTAAATATGGAGTTTTAGGGCTTTGGAATGTAAACAGAGAGATATAAGTTTAAATGCAATTCACTCTCATCTAATGATCATACCCTCTCTCTTCTTGATTAGGTGATTTTCATAGACAACTGGCGAGTCATGCATGGGAGGGAGTCATTCACTGGCTTGAGGCAGCTGTGTGGATGTTATCTGACCAGAGATGACGTCCTCAGTGCAGCACGTGGCTTTGACCTGCAGGCCTGATCCTGGACTTCACTTCACTTCTGTGCCTTGTTGTTTAGCTTTTTTAATATAAGATTACTCAGGTCTGCACTTCAGAAAATTTAAAACAGTCTAAGTCTTTCACATGGAGCAAGTTTATGTACATTTTTTGCAGGAATTGGGTATGATCAAGGATCCAGTAATCGTTTTTCACTTTCTTCAACATTTTCGTTGATTTCTCAGAGAATACTTTGTTTATCCCGAATGAATAAAACCTGGCGTATTTAGGGGACTGACATTTATGGGAGTGAAAATGAATGCAGATCCAAATAAAAAGCCAGATCTAGTGGATTTAAATGTTTCATAAGGAGATTGTTGGGCATTGATGGAGGTTTGCACTGTACTAAGTTGTCTCATATTTTTCAGTCACCTAATCATCCTCTAATTTCCACAACACTGGTGTGATATGATATTATCAATAAAGACCCTGTTATTCAGATACTTGTTCACCTGTAACACATACACTCACTGGTCAATTTATTAGGAACGCCTAGAAAAAAACAATGCAGTATAAGGACCTGGTCACACATATGCAAAGCAAATCAAATGTCATGGTTCAAGGTCCACCAAAGTTGATATCCAAGCGAAGCCTCCCTGCGAGTTCTCTCGCCACAGGAAGCTAATGCTTTGATCGCCTCCTCGCTCACACTGATTGGAAGTGAATGTAAGGCGAAGGTCCACCACTGTTTATTCAGTGATTGCATTCTGTAGTCAAAGATAATGTCACTGCTCAGTGTTCTGTGATTTAGTTGTAGTTAAATCAATGCCAAGCTTTCAGGCTAATCATTCACATCTTGAAAGAAGATAAGGGCCCACATTCATGCTAGTTCTGTAAATCTACTTATGATAACATACAAATGTTTATTTTGATATTAAGCCATGTTCACTTTAGTGTGTCATCAGTCAAACATTGGCCAGAAACACAAAAGAAGCATTTAAGTTTTTCAGTGTTTGGACAAATTGGAAATTTTGACTTGATGATTGCAGCTGGTGAAAGTGTGCCACCTCCAGAGACTGATAAAATGAACTCATATATTTGGTTGTAAAGAAGACAGTGGAATCCAAAAACAGAACAGGGAAAATACTCAAAGATTAAGGAAAACACTGAGAGACTTATACAGGCATGGATAACTGAACACAGATAAAACACATTATACACGAAAGATCTCAAGAAAGTAACTTAACTGAGGAAGAGACACAAGGAAGGGTGTGTAAGAAAAGTATATTGAAAAGCAAAAGGTACATTCCACAAGAGTTCTTATAGTGGAGCAAAAGGAGTCACCAAAGTTGTTTCAGCTCATCTGAAATGGGGCATAGATATTTCAGTCTGGAGATTTGTTCTAGATCCACCAGTGGACTGACGTTGGCAATGAAAATTATAGCAACATTATGGTTTTATGACAGAAAGCTGCACCCGAGAGTCCAAGGGTGCAAGTGACACTAAGGACCCCGTGTTTTACAGCAGTGAGGTGTGTACAAAACAATACCTGTGATACGTGAATCGTAGCTCTCAGGTTAAATGCTAAACCTTTAATTTCACAACTGCCTGCAGATAATCACATATAGCCATTAGATGAGACTTTGTTTGCGAAATCATTTTCTGTTTCTTTAAATGTTCAGACTAAAAATCACTTATTTTAGAAATGTCACATCTATTTGCAAATCCACACAAAACATAGAGCCAATAACTTACAGTCATTCGAGACCGATAACTTCAGAATTTTTAGAACATTGCTCATCTCCACATCTTTATAGTAACACCACAAATCAAAGATGAGCCCATGTTCATTATGACAAAGTACTATTAGATCGTCCACTGCACTGATTTCTTGCTATGGTGATGATGTGATTGTCCCACTGTGTCAGTGTGAAACTGGCCCTACATTTTGCCAAACACGCTGTTAACAGCCTCTGGTTTATTGAACACAGCTGGGGTGCAATATGGTGTTTTATACCAGTCTAAATTAGGTAGCCAATGGCTGAGCTGGAGCCTGCGTGAATCCGATTTTAAATGAAGGTGGTGGAAGCAAACAAACCATTTGGGTCCATGAAGTTATCAAGCAGAAGAAACAGAACAATCCGAGGTGCTTTTTTGTTGCTGTTTGCATACTTGCCAAATAGAAAGTTTGGTTGATTTGCATCAGATCAATGGATTTAATTGTGCCACAGAAAAGGCTGTTTAATATTTGCTTCTACTAATAGGGAAATAAACACGGTTGGAATGACTCTGTATGAAAATCTGCAGCTGTTAATATACAGTTGTTCATACCAGAGCCAGTGATTTTCCTTTTAGCCATTTATAATTGACCAAAGTGAAAATAGTGAAAAAGAATCTGAACAGTGCATCTATTGTTGACATGTTATTAGTATACTGAGCTTTACAGTTCCCACAGTTTTCTTTTTCCTTTAACTGTGAGTAGCCACACAGCTAATCCTTAAATAACCAAATAACACTTGATGTCATCCAACCCTGAACAAATGTGAAAAATCCTCCCAGAGTTCTGAGGGACACCACCCTGACTGTATAAAGGCTTTGCAGTGTGAGGCTCCACTGTAACTCTGCTGCCCCCTATAGATGACACAGCACTTGGTAATGTCAGTCATGGTCACGGTGGGAGAGTTACATGACACAGTGACTCAGAAAACACCACATTTTATTTTCATCAGAATCTGTAAATCCACAAAAACACTCACTTCTTCTACAGCTGCTCAATAATTTGTGTCACCAAACATGAATTAATCAAAGACTAGGATCCCATTCATCCTTCCCTTCAGGGATTAGTTTGTGGCATCGATCAACTGCAAAATATTGGTTTTAACTTCAGATATTTTATCATTAGAAAACCTATATTTGAATATTATTGTTTCTGGGTTCAAAACCAAAGATTTGCTATATATGTAAAAGTAAGATAAAAACATACAGTGAGTCTGTTGCAGACTGCTGCAGTTATTTCAGTGACAGCTCCAATAGACCTGCAGTTTTTACAGTGCAGACTCATACTCAGACCTCATCATATCAGCATTGTAAGACAAGATGTGTTTATGCGATTCATGAAATAAATTCAAATATTGGTTACGATACAGCATGGCCTACAGCTTATTTAAAAAAGGGATGCACTGATTGTCACACTTTGAAAACTAAAAAACTATGACATGAAAACATGATGAAAAGATGCTGTCTGTTGAAAAAAAGATCTGCGTCTGTGCTCCTGCAAAGCTTTGAGCTCCTGAAACAAATGGTGAATGTTAAACAGCAGTAAAAGACTGACTTTATGGTAAATACACAGGATGCAGTATCATGTATTTATTGAATCTGAGAATGACGTATGTTCAAGCCTGAACTTCCTGGACACCCTCTTGTTCAGATTAGTGACGTCACTCCAGTTGTTGTCAGCAGGCCTTATTTTAGGCCTCTGGCTCATCTCCCCCAGCATGGAGGTTTCCGGCTGTGGTTGCCGTGGAAACACTCTCCGTGGCTTCCTGGGCCTGGCGAGAGCTCCTCCTAGTGGACAGAGAGAGAGTTGCCGTGACTCTCGTCTATTAATCACAGGGTGAAATGCAACATGATGAAGCTCAAGTCTTACTTCATCTCGTTGGCCTCTGGTGCCTTCACTGCTTTGTATCTATGCCTCTTCACCGTGTGAGCGATGAACCACACGACCAAAATGATGAGGACGCACCCGAGTAACGCACCAATCACTGCACCAGCAATCACTCCATCTCCCACTTCTGTTCAGGCATTACACAAGTTGTTACGTTCATGACATTTTTTATTCTACATATAATTGAAAAATCAAACAAACCAAAAATGTAATCTTACCAGGTGTCAGCTCTATGGTGCAGGTGGAAAACCCTACTACATTTGTGGCGTTGCACTGGTACTCCCCAAATTGAAATTGGGAGATGTTTGTGATTTTCAATATTCCAGATGGGTTTGCTGAGGGAACAAGTGCACATATGTTTGTTTACAAATAAATCAATGTGAAGCTATTTACTATATATCACAAATACACTAAGACTGTACTCACTTTGTCCCAGAACAGGCATCCTGGTCTTAGCCTGGTCCAGTTTGGTCCAGATGTACGTGGGGGTCGGGCTTCCAAGCTCACTGTGGCAGGTCAGAGTGACCAGGTGACCCGACTCAACGTCACCGTGGACGGCGCAGTAAGGAGGAGAGGGCCTCTCTGACAACCCGTAAGAAAGATACCAGGATTTACTAGGTGACTTAACATTTGGTTTTCTAAATATATATACTTTTATGTGAGTTTTTTCCAATATACTGAATATTCTCCTACTTTCTTTTCACATGCTATACTCATATGCTGTATTTGTTCAGTTTTTTTGTGGTCCTCATCCCTCTCTATATGTCTATTTATACATGTATGTAAGTTCACTGAGAGCAATTCAAAAACTGAGTCAGTATCTTTGTATATGTGCACATACTCGACTAATTAAGCCAATTCTGATTTGTTTTAAATTGTTATTATTTGGCACTTATTCAATCAGTATTAATCCCTGATATTTTGTGTTTAAACCTTCCAGGTTCAGAACTCATCAGCTTCCCCCACAGGTTTGTTAACAGAACATGTCACACTGGTGCAGCACTGAATCTGATCAGAGTTGTATTATCGGTCAGTTTATAAAAAAGCAGCAACACTGGTTTTGACTGTGCACTGAAATGACTGATGGAGAACGACCTTCTACAGAGAAAAGAAAGAAGAGGAGATGACGTCAGCAGAGAGACGAGGAGTGGGTGTCCTCTTCAGAGGACACTGACAGCGATCATGTGAAATTACAGGGAGTGGGAGTGGATCATTAGTTGACAATTTACACCAGGGTTGTATTAAATTGATTCATTATTACATGGAGCCACTTGAGTATTGGTGTTAGTCTGAATAGACGTCAGTTGTAGTGATATCTATTTGGGCAGTTTTGAAATATCTGTCTCTGAGATTTTTGCATTTTCACCAGTGTAGTAAAGGTGAATGAAATTTCATCTTTGGTGCTCACCACATCCTGATACAACACAGCACACTACAGGCAAAGTGAGTAGGTGCTTCTACCAAATTTGTGAACAACTCACACAATTAGAGATGATTTGTGTCTTGTTATTTACGTTAGATAACTGTATTGTCCCAAGCAGCCTATTTTTTTATTTTGTTTTTATTTTATCTGTAAAGAGCAACAGCGATGTTCCTCACATCAGTGGAACACACACACACACACACACACATACACACACATACACACAGAGTCGTGTCTCCATGGCTTCAGAGGACATTCATTGACTTGCATTTCTTTCCTGGAGATGTACCCTTACCTTAACCATAGTTATATAACCAACTATATATACTTGCCTAACCATGACCCCATATGTCTTCATTGTAAAATGCAATCATTTACATTATAGGGACTTGCGTTTTGTCCCCAAAGAAAGGCACACATGTGATTCTGATCCCCATACGTTAGGAACACCTGGTTCACACACATACCCACTGACAGGGGGAAAAACAGGAAGGAAGGAAAGAAGTGTGTTGGGCGTGGTCTCACTCTGTTCCTACTACCATATATTTTAGCGGTGTCGGCCCTACTGATTATTAGGATTTCAGTGTTCTGACTGGACAGTTCCGCTAAACCTCAGCAGGGGGTAAATCTTGTTTGTAAATTATGATGGACTGCTCACTCGTTAAAATATTACCACGATTCTCCATAATAAGCCGGGATGAAAATCATCTGTGACTGAATGCCAATCAGCATGAGGACGATCCATACATATTCACACAGCACTTAAGTATGTGTCACATTCAGGGTGTAGAAACCATCCTGTAAACACTTACACAAAGGCCGACTCCGTGAGATACAAGATGTGTGGTTAGCACACAGTGGATATATGTTCTGTATGCAGTACAAGGATGCAGTCACAGTCCCACTCTAATTTCCAAAGCTGACAATGAGGAGACTGCTACAGTAACCATGGAAACTAGTGAGGATACTGAGGCCTGAGAGGTTGTCGTGGTAACTCGGTGAATGAGAAGATTCAAACTGAATGCAATTCCCGTACCACGCTATTCAGGGACAGTGCTTTAATGAATTTGTTAATGCTACTGTGCTGATAATAGATATGGTAATCTCAGATGTGGGAAGAGAACTAAAACACTTAATTGATGTGAACATTTTTTCACTTCAGTTAAAATTGGCCTGCTGTAATTCACACTGGGGTACTAGGTTGGAAAAAAGACCACTTTAAATGATGGCCCCTTTATGACCTATGATTTAGTAAAATCCTAGACCTTGCACTGCTCTTAAACTGTTCCAGATTCTGGGCTACAGACAAAAGGGGACAGAACTTTTGAAATAAAAGTTCTGAGGCTCTGGAGTGCCTGCTGGGATGCGGTAGGCTGAGTCAGTAGCTTCCTATAAATCTAAGCTTAAAACGTATTTTGATATAGTAAAGTATTGTGTTCCCAGATTTGAGCCCATTTTGTTGTTTTTCTCCTTTTATTTGTTATTACGTATTCTTACTTGTGTGGCTTTTATCTGTGAAGCACTTTGTGAAGGGCTACGTAAATAAAGTCATTATTATTATTGGCTGATACTCTCCTCTCCCTTAAGATCTTACTTGGGGTTTTTCCATCGACGCTGCGAGTTATACTAACATCACAAAAGGTCATGAGAGGTCATGAAACTCACCAAGAACGTTCACAGCGATATTGGCCTGAGACTTTCCGTCCACATCAGGGAAGTTGTGAACCTCACAGCTGTAGACTCCACTGTCTGATGGCTGCATGTTGCGTATTGTTATCGAGGCGTTTTTGTTCGTGCCTGGCGAAGAGGGAGGCTGGATTCTGCCCTCGTACGCTCTGGGAATGACATCCTTTCCTGACTGATAGTAATAGACCTGAGGGAAAACAACACTTATTGTGGCAAATCACAATAACTGACTCTTTGCAGACTTAGTACCCTGAAGTGTTAATTTAGTCCAAGGAAAAGGTCTTATTGTCATAGGATTGGCTTGTTTGGGACTGTCTGGTGCTCTGATCAACTTAATCTGTTTTTAACATCAGCTGATCAAAGTGACAGTGATGCAGCTCTTAGATAAACATACAAATTCAGAGATCTGGGATTTTCTATTCTTTACTTTATTCTTTTAGGTGCACATAATTCAGGCAATGGCAGATAAATAAAATTGGTATTACCCAAACAGAGGTTTGTCCCTTATCAATAAAGCAAGTTTTAAAAAGTGGTAATTTGCATATTCTCAGCTATTTGCTCAGTAATAATAATCAAAAGGTACAAAGCTTAATTCCATCCAGTAGATGGTACAATTTTGTTTGAAATGTAAGTTGACTGTGTTTCAGAACGTTAGTCATTAGTCACATTGTTACGATAATTCAAAACCAGCCCTTATCTGATCTCTCAGTCATAGGTTTGTTGTCTCAGCGAGGCGTGCCTCCTGACTGGTAGAGAGGAAAAGTGCACCAAGGTGTGTTTTAATAGATAATTCAATCTTTTTGAATAAATAAATGAATATCTTGCAAAATAATAATATAATAACTTAAGTTGTATAGTACTTCTCAAAACATAGTTGCTCTACAAATAAAAAACACACAGGAAAGAATAAATAAGAGAATAAAAACATTAAATGTGTGACAGAAATTTAAGCACAAGCTTCTATTCCAGTGATGAAAACTAAAATGAAGTAAAACCAGGGAATGCTGTAAGATAATGAGTTTTCAGATGAGAGTCCACCCAGTGTACATCGAGCTGGAGTGTTGCTTTACAATAACTAGAATAGCACTCAGCAAAGTGCATACCTCTGCCTGAAATTCAGTTGAGCTTCACCAATTGCACACAGTCATAGATATCAGTTCTCTACATGTGCCTGATTATTTCATGCATTATTCTCTGGGAAATCAGGGAAAATAATAAAAAGTCTCCCAAAGTTAAAGTAAGTGAAAAAGAAAGACTTGGATCCGCTTCTTTGTTCTGATGTGCACCAAAAGTTCAGGGATCTTCCTTACCTCCCTTCACCATGTATCAAGAAAATCAATGAAAATATGACCTTCTTCACGGATTGTTTAACAACAACATGCCACATTTTAGTTGAAAGCATTGATTTTGTCCTGAGCTTGTCTTTTTATATCGCTCAAAACCAAAATACACTCATAAAGCAAACACTCTGAGCTTCTCAACTTCAACTAGATGAACAGAGGTAAGTTTTCAATATGAAATACCCTGATTATTCACTTTTTATCATTGAAGAATCTGATTAAACACGACATTGAAGCATCCAAAACCCTTGTTTTATAGACATTTTACATTTGAGCACATTAAACCTGCCTAATTTAATGCTACGCCCTGATCTGAGCAGCACCGTGTATATACCTGCTTTAGGGAGGCTGATGACACAAAGTCCCACTGGATGGTGAGGCTGGTGGTTTCAGGAATAGTCACAAACACACACTGGAGGAGGACACTTCCACCCACTGTAACGTTGATGGATTTGTGCGGCGTACTGACTGTGATCAGCTCACCCCGTCCTGCAAAACAACAAGCTCGTCAGGTTCCAGGTAAATCCAAAACCAAACACGCTTTACTAAAATCTCCTTGATCAGGAGGAAGAAGCAGAGATGTTGTTACCTATGATGCTTGCAAGAACCAACAAGCCCAACATGGAGGACGTCATCGTTCACAAAATGTTGGAGCAAACTCGCAGAGCTTCTTCCGAACTGAACTCTCCGTGGTCTTGTATCTCAAGGCAGCACCGAAAGTGAGAAAGAAAAAACGTTACAGTATCACAGGCAAGGTTACAGAATGCGTAATGGACTGAAACTGCCCGCGTTGATAACACACTGTTTGCATATGCATGTTTGCCAGACTGGGTGTGTGTTGTTTTTCAAAAACTGCCCATTTGGCTGTTAATAATTTTGAATTTCGGGCGGTGGCTGATGAAATAAACTCACCTGTTTAGTTAATACAATCAATACAGTCTGTATTTGAAATCACATCAATTGGCACAACAGTCAGTCGGCCTTGCGTGTGTGATGTTGTTGACTTAATGTGACAGGTTAGGACCACAGTGTGTTGTGACAATGATAGTTCATTCATTTTTCAGCACTTTGGCAGCATGTTCACTCCTCCTCCCATTGTCTTGTAAGTCCTCCTGGGTCAGGAGGCAAAGAAATTAATGCACATTTAATCTCCACCTGGCTGCTATCGCTCGCCACAAGGAAGTGTAAGCCAAAGCTCTGCAACACGCTGCTTATCACCGGGGAGTTCACTCCCTGGTGCTGCGTGCTTAATAAAGGCCATTTCCCCTTTGTCTTTTCTTTTTCCCTTCGCACGGCACAGAGCACAATGCTGAAGGAGCTGAGGGAGTGAATCACACATGATTAATTGTCTATAATTACCAGACGCTGACATAAGTGATTAACAATGTGTAAAATGTTGATCAGGGGTGACTGGAGGGGCGAGAGGGGGGTGATGTGGGAAGTGGAGGGAGGCCTGTAGAGCTAATTATCCACAGGACACGTATTTGATAGGTTAGGAAGTGAGGCCATCTCAGTGTCTCAGGACTTTGTCTGAACAGAGCAACATGTGTTGGCAGCTGTGGACAGAGCTGCGGAGCGGAACAACAGAGGGCCGCACTTTAATTTCCCTCCGGGGATGAATAAAGTACTCTATCTATCTATCTATCTATCTATCTATCTATCTATCTATCTATCTAAAGAAACGCCATCAACATGAGTTACTGATCCGCAAGGAAACAATTCTGAAGATTCAAGTGTGAGTAAATGAGGATGATGGAGAAGGAGGGTGGAAACACTGCAGGGGGTTCATGGATGACCAGAGGAAAATATGGAGTGTTACTGAGTTACACGTGATAACAAAACCCAGCTGACATGGTACACCCGGGAGAGGTCACCAGTGTATCGCAGAGCCAACACACGAGAGAAACAACCATTCACGCTCACATTCACCCAAACGGACAATTAATCTGTTTGTTCCTTGGACTGTGGGAGGAAGTCAGAGTACCCAGAGAAAACCAAACAGACACAGAGAGATCATGGAAACACCACACACTAAGACCCGAGCAAACACAGAAACCAATAAACTGCCTCCTGTGCGTCGACCCTGGCAACCACTGGACCTCTGTGCCACCCTATATACAAGTCAAAAGTATAATAAAGTAAAAATAAAAACGTGTTTTTAAACAAATACTGCCAGTGCTGAGGTGCAATGTCCTCCATCACATCTTAGTTTAGGATTTAAACATGCTGATATTTGCTCATTAGTATTAAAGGTCCAGTGTGTAAGATTTAGGTGAAAGGAATCTATTGGCAGAAATTTAATGAAGAATAATCCTCATGATGTTTTCAATAGTTCGTTTCATTTAAATTGTACAAATTGTAGTTTTCTTTACCCCAGAAAAAGGCCCTTTATATTTGAATACTTAATATTTACATGGGGGGGGGGGGGTCCTCTTTACGGAGGCCGCCATGTTTTTTACATTAGTCCAGACTGGACAAACGAAGCATCTTTTGAGTTTTTATGACAACTGAAGCTACCACAGGTTCTTTTTCATGTTTGGAAGGAGAGGGTGAGGTGAGGGGTGTTCAGCTGCAACATGCAACTTCAACACTCGATATCACAAAATTCTACACACTGTAACTTCAAGAGCAAAGTATGAAAATGTCATTCATTTCGCAGATATTTGGTCGTAAACCAAAGCATTGGGCTTATATAACTTTGACCTGAAAATGGTGCTGAAAAAAAAGTGAAAGGATCCTGTTAGATTGGGTACTGTGTGTGAATGTTCCGAATTCAATTAAAATCTCAATGTCCTGAAAAATGATTTCAATCTATTGACAACAAAGAACAAATCAGAGGATCACTAACATCATTAAGGATCCTCCTCTGGGGATTGTGAAAGTCTAAACAAAATTTTCAACCAACACATCCAAGACTTCTAATGCACCAGTCACATCACTTGGCTGACAGGCTGCTCAGAATCTCTATAATAACGAACAATCTTCAAATAGTTAAGTTGACAGTTGCCATTCACAGACTGAAGCACTTCTCAGCATGAGCTATATTTAATCTTAATTATATTCCAATCACATTAATGGCTCCTCGGTTTCTATGATGGATGTGAGTGGAGGGTCAATGATGCGCCCGCCGCACAAACACGGAGAGCTGTCTCAGGCAGTGATGTGGAGGCTGCTGGTTGTGGAGCTATGGCCTGCTCAAATCTCAAGCCTCCAGCTGGTCTCAGTGCATTGCCTCCTCACACAGGCTAATTCGTCCACCCACAACAACCTGCGTTTCCCTGTCTGCAGACTGAGAGGAGGTGTGAACCAGAGCTGGTGCACATTTGAGATGTGGTGTATTCTTTTTTTTCTTTCTCCTGCTTGGAGATACCATAATCGATTATTTATCAATTGATCTTTGTAGCAGTCAGTGGACCGAGCTGGTAGCAGTATGGTTTGGTTGAGATGCTGAATCTTCTGTGGTTGCTGAGGAAGGCAGGGATGCAGTTCAGGAGTTGGCCAGCAGATGACAGGCCAGGCTGTCAGATGTTGTGCGTCTCTTTGTGAATGTGTTGTGTGCTCTTTATATACAGTCTATGGTTGTGTGTCAAGGAGGCGGCCGGTGGCACCACAGCCCAGAGCACCACACTCAATGCTTCAGAAAAGCTCGCTCCTCCTCCACTTCACCCAACCGCCTCAGGAAAAAACACATATAGGCCAGACATTTAGCACGACTTCACTTATTGTCCCTGCAGCTACTAAGCAATCACACTCCCATATGCACAAAGAACAAACACACACAACTACAAACTGTGGTGTGAAACATCATCTGACCCTGCATAAAAGAAAAGGTCCCCTTTGCATCGCATTTGCTTTTCTTGGCACTAAAAGCCAAACACGGTGACACGGAACTATCATCGCACATCGACATCAAACATAAGCAGGAAACTGTGCTCTCACAAAGATTGACACAATTGTACCAATAAACCTTTGAAAGAAGGAAAAGTGGGACACAGAGTCGGAGGCAACATCTCCTGATACTTGTTTGTATCATCTCTGAAATTCAGAGTCTGTCATTGCAGAAGGTGACCCATCACGACCTGTCTGAGGAGGAGAGCACGAGACGAGGGGCTGAGGAAGTTGGCATCAGCAAACCATCGAAGTGACAGCGTCGCACAGTAAAACAGGAACACATTTATGTTGTTGACTCTTTCCCAAGACACACAGTGTTCCCATATAGTCTTTATGTTAATGGTTTGTGTACATTTTTCTTTAGGTGACTGACTTCAGTCCAGGGAAAATGCCAAACAATAAAAAGATTTAAAGATAATTTTACATGTTTGACTTATGATCTTCTAAAAAAGTGGAGTTGTATCCATGGCGAACAGATGTTTTTTTGGGGGGGGCTTTTCTCCTTTCTGCAGTGGTGTCTCGGTGACTTGAGATGAGATCTTTTGTGCTGGTTGATATTCATTTCATGGGATAATGCAAATGTTGGAGGTCACTGATAAGCTCAAACAGAGCCAGCGTTAGCCACACTCTCAATTAATAGTGAAAATTGACTTTGACACCAGTGGCATGTGTACACATATTCTAAGTAACGTTTGTCAAACAATATCCAGTGCTCACATTTACTCTATGAACATGTATGTGACTATAATCTCACCTTTAACCGAACCTTCTTTGCTGTACACTGGGATTTTATAACCGACGCCCCTGGGGGGTTTGGATTTAGCAGTTCAGCCGTGGCCACATTGCACAAAAGAGATTTGTCTTAATATTTTATTAGACACATTATGTTTGCACTCTCCTCCGTCTCTCTTCTCTCTCTATTCAACCCCCAAACAAGAACTCCATGGCAACAAAGACCAACATTCTGTAAAAAGGAGAATAGACGGACACACAGTACTACAGGAGGGTCGTGGCTTGACATTTTTATCATGTCAGAGATGCTTGTGGGATGGAAGATTCTTGTTTGGGGCAAACTGCTGACAGATATAAATGTTTATTGACTAAATAATTGATGGTTTTAGTCGACATTATCTCAGTCAGTTATGCATATCTATACCTGAATCGATAGTGATGCTGAGAGTCAAAGCTTAGGTGTTGTTAACGTTAGCTTTGATTTAAATAATGGACTGTTTTTAAGGATTGCACGAGCATAGCAATCATTGTTATTGACCTTCTTTTTTATCATTTGCATAAGTACAAATATTCCTTTAAAGACTGTGTGTTAATCTTAATTCTTGGCTTAGAACCAGTAAAGAAAATGTATTCAGGCGACTGAAAGCACAAGCAGCCGTTCTGAGGCACAACGCCAAAGCAGCAGCTTTTTGACCACTTTTTCCCCCACATATGTAACAGCCATCAATTTCTGACCCATGTTAATGCACCCTTTCAATATTTTATATTTTTATATGGAGTGCTGACAATAGAACACGGAAATGGAAGGCAGATTTTGCTGAGCTACTTCACCGGCTGTGTTTCCTTCTCCTCAACAGAGCTATGCACTCCAACGCAGAAAGAGCCAGCGATGAAAATACAGGCAAACTCACAAATGACAAATCTTTTAGCCACACTGAACATAAAGCTGCTGTATTTTCACATATTCTATGATGCACAAGTGTAATGTATACAATTTGATCCCTATTGAATA